AATATTTTAAAATCAAGTTTATATAATTCAAAAGGGTTACATAATTTTTATTTTTAAAAATTATTAAACACATACATACCAATTACTTAACTCAAAACATAAATTTTAAAATACTGAAAGCTGTGCAGGGCCATGTGGATCCCAGCCAGGGCCCTGCCCTGAAAAGAGCTGCACGGGCACACAAGCAATGGCCAGAGGCCTGCCCAGATTCCATTGGTATGTGCTTGCAGATCCCAGTGAGAAGCCCTTGTGTGGATCAGAGCTGCACAGGTACATGCAGGTCCCAGCCAGGACCCTGCCCAGACAATAGCAGCTGGGCCAGCAGCCAAAGGCTGGCCTGCAAAAGAGCTATGCAGGTGGGCAAGCAGGGCCAGAGGCCCACCCAGATAGCATTGGTAAGCACTTGCAGACCCCAGCCAAAAACCCACTCAGACACCAGCGAATAAGGTGCACAGCCCCCAGACAAAGACCCTTCCAGACAACAGAGCAGCACAGGGATCCAGAACGCCACCATTCTACACCCAGGAATTGGTGCAGTGCCAAGCAGCAAAGAAAAAGCCTCTCAGTGGCTTGCTGAGGATTGAAGACCACTGGGCAAGCAAAGAGTCACCTCAACAAAGACACCACTGGTTACATCTGTTGAAATGAGAATACACATAAACAACTCTCAAAACAAGACTTCCAGATCACCAAAGGTAACCCCAAAGGGCAACAAGATGGAACAATCTGATACTCAACCTCCTGGACTCCCTGAATGGGAAACCAAGGAGGATCTGGAAAAAATGAAATCAGAAATAATTTCTCAGGTAACAACAGAGATTGGGTCATAGTGCAAGACATGATTAATAACTCTCTAGAGCAGGCACAAATAAAAAAAATAGAGAAGCTGAGGAACATGATGGAATCCCAGCATAGGAAACAAATGGAATACATAGAACAGATGCAAATAGATATCCAGGAGATTAAAAACTCTATTGAAAGTTTATGCAGCCGAATGAGCCAATGCAAGGACAGAATGTCAAATATAGAAGATAGGATTGCAATTAGTGACCAGGAAAAGAAAAATCTCTTAAAAATTGTAAGGGACCACGAGAAATCAATCCAGCAAATCATAGACAATGCAAAGAATAACATAAGACTGAGCAAAGTCAATGAAGAAACAGGGGACAGTGCAAATGACACAAGAAAACTGTTCACAGAAGTAATAGCAGAAAACGTCCCAAGCAAGGTAAAAGAACTTGACATACAGATAAGTGAGGGATATAGGACTTCAACTAGTCATGATCAAAAAAATCTACACCTAGGCATATAATAGTTAAGAAATTCAACAGAAGAATAAAATTTTACAAGCAGTTAGAGAAAAGAAACAAATCATATACAAAGGAAAGCTCATCAGAATCACAGCAGACTTCTCAACACAAACCCTCAGGGGAAAAAGAGCCTGGAATGAAGTATTTCAAGTCTTAAAGGAAAATAATCTCCAACCTAGATTGATGTATCCTGCAAAACTATCTTTCAAAATTGATGGAGAAATAGATACTTTCATGACAAAGAGCACCTTAGGAACTTCATGAACACCAAACAAGCACTCCACAAAATTTTCAACAATATCCTAGGAAAAGACAATGAGGATCACAACCCCAGGAAGCCCAGCAGAATGAATCCATTGAGCACGACAAGAAATTAAATGCAAAGGGGGAGAATCTAACAAAAAAAAAAAAATAGGCATGACAAGGATAAGTCAATACATATCAGTTATAACCATCAATGTTCATGGTCTCAATTCACCAATCAAAAGAAATAAACTGCCAGAATGGGGCAAGAAGTAAGATCCAACAATAAGCTGCATAAAAGAAACACACTTAATTCAAAAAGAAATTTATAGACTGAAAGTTAAAGGATGGAAAACAAGACTATGCGATAAGAACATAAAAAAAAGGAGAAGTAGCTATCCTCTTTGCAGATCAAATGAATTTCAAACCAACATAAATAAGAGAGACAAAGAAGGACACTACATCCTTGTAAAGGGAACAATCCAAGATGAAGAGATGACAATCATAAATATATATGCACATAATACTAGTGTATCCAACTATATAAAACAAACACTGATGGACATGAAAAATCAAATAAGCATTAATACAATAGTAGTAGCACTAATACAATACCCCACTGTCACAGATAGATCAAGTAGACAAAAATTAAACAACAAAATACTAGAACACAACCAAACTCTTGAACAAATGGACTTAACAGATGTTTCCAGTGTCCCACCCCACAAAATCAGAATACACACTCTTTTCAGCTGCACACAAAGTCTTTGTAAATAAGAAGGGATGGAGGGGTTGAAATGAGGGCAGGGGAACAGGGAAAAAATAACCAAGATATGTCATGCAAAGGTACAAATTTTCAATGATTGTCTTTATATGTATACCTAAAATGTACCAATAAAATTAATTTTTAAAAAATTTAAAATATTGAGATGGACATTAAAGTTTTATTCCTGGTGATAGTTGTTGAGCTTCCTTAAATATATCAGGCAGGAGGGGCACAGAATAAACCACAACACACACCTCTAAAGTTCTGTGTCCTACAGCCATATCCAATCAGCAACACTTAAGTCCATGCAAAAATTACTTTGATCTTCTGTGGGTTTTAAAGCACAAGGTTAAGAGGTTTGGTTCAAATCTCAAATTCCCATAAATTCATTACCCAGCCTTAAGCAAGTCACTTGACCTGTGTGAACAATTCGCTTCCTTGGTCTTGTTGTAAAGAATAAACAGGAATAAAAATGAATGCTCTTTGAAACTGTAAACATTATTGCTGATGCCAACATTTATCCAGAACAGCACAGAAGAACAAAAATACACACTTCCATAACTAAAGTACAGAATGTGTATTGCCATGTTTCCATCTGCACTTAGGCCAAATGCAGCTACACTAATCAATAATACTGATAATACACAAGTCAAGATTCTCCTCTTTTCTCCACTAAAAACAGGGCAAAGAATGACTAAGTGTTTTTAATGCACACCACGAATGAATTCAGAAGACCAGTAAATAGATAATAGACATTAAAAATTTACCTATAGTTCTGTTCTGTACTTGATAAATACATCTTGATCTCTACTTTTTTTAGCTTTTGTACTAGTTTCAGAGAATAATTTAAAACCTGGAAGAGGAGAGTAATACATTAAAAAATACAACTATAGTTAAAAAATAAATTACAATTTATAAATCTATGATTAAAACCATTAAAAGGGCTGGAGGTATGACTCAATGTAGTATAGCACTTGCCTAGCATGCACAAGGCCCTGAGTTTGAACCCCAGGACCACCAAAAAATAAATAAAAATAATTATGTTGGAGAAGCTTCAAA